CCAAAAATCATGAGACAAATAAATGTGTTTTCTTTAGAAATTACCGAGGTAATTTGTATTCTAAGGTATTCTGTTACAGCAACACAAAATGGACTAAGATACAAATGTATGAAAAAACTCACTGAAGATGTAGGGCAAATGGAGCAGACCTAAGTAATTCTGGAAGTAAGTGGAATCTCTAGGCTATAGACAAATGAATTATACTTCAACACTGGATTCTATTTTAAAAAGTTCTTTCCAATGGGGGTAATAGTTAACAATCCTAAAACTACTACATATGTATCTGAAATGGAACAATGACTTACATAAGTGGCACATGGTGGGAGCCAGGTTTCTCACTGTTGAAGTGGAAGGTTACAGATTAGCAAGGGGAGGTGGTGGCTATTTGATATAAAGAAGTAAACAAATGGAGGGTGGTAGAGAATATTGAAAGATGTCAGAGGAGCTTAATTCTTTTAATATTGAAAGATTGCTCTGAAGGTCCAAATAATTATGAGGCAGGAAGATCTTGTCAATATCTTTTAATAATTGTTGCTTAAAAAAACTTTAAAAATATTACAGGAACTATTTCAAAATACTAACCCATCGTTCATGCAGATTTCTAATAACACACTTTCAATAGTTTGGTATCTACAGCTCATGAATATCAATATTTTAGCAAAATTCATGAAAAAAATGACAGGTCTCCAAAATTAACTTAACAAAATAAAATCATTTTATTAAATGATTTTAACTTTTAATACTAATAAATGTCATGATGGTAAATAGGTAGAAAAATTTCAACAGACAGATTTCTTGTTTTAAAAATATGTGCCCTAAAATTTTTACATCCCAAAGTGACAAAAGAACCATTTACTCTCTGGCTAATTCAACCTTCTGAGTTTGTAACACTGACTCAGAGGTAACTCATTATTCTTCCCCTTGCTTAAATTGCATCACAACTTGTTTCCTTTACAAAGATAAATCTTGACTTCACTAAAGTGAGAAATGAGGATTGACCACACTAATTTGGAGGATGTTAAATGCTTCAAAATAAAGAACTTTTCTCATTTACTTACTGATAATAAATTAAGCACAGCTACTTAATTATTTTTAGCAACATGTTTTCCAGTGGAAACGTCTGTCATTTCATACTCATTTCACAGCATGCTCTTTGCCAGAAACATTAAAAATCAATCAGTTTTCCTTACAAAGTGATAATAAGATACTCTGTTTTCAAAATAAAGTCATTTATAGCTCAGTTAGTCCCAAAGTTTATCCTAAAACTTTAAATCATCTAAAATTGAAGTATGTTGTGAAACACTTATTGTTTGCTCCCTATTTTATGTCAAAGTTTGAATTCTTTGTAAAGGTAATAAATATTTCTGTTATATTTACATTATTCCAATTATTCGGATATTTATATTATTCCAATAAATGTATATTTATAAAATCTTTGATGCTAAAACTTTACATCATTTCCTGCATTGCATATTACACCAGAGGAAAATAAATTTTTATTATATTAAACCATCTGAGATTATATATATATGGTGTTTATCTATTATGGCAGTATAGCTAACCCTGCCCTGCCTTATATCACAAAATTCCAGTTTCTTTGTGAAATCCTATGATAGATTGATAGATCTTTTGAAGGCAGTATCATTCTGCGATCTCAATTAAAATTTAGAATTTATTACATTTGATGCAAATTAATGTATTTTGAAACATGACATTAATCATTTATAAAACATACTTACAACTCTAAAAAATATTGCCATAGCAGTATTTAATTGTGTTTATATGTCTATACAATATATTTATAAACCTCAACTTCAGTACCTACCTCATATCTGATAAAGAGAGTGTCCCGCAGGCTCTGTCATGTTCCAGTTGAGAATTTTCAGAGAAAAAAATAAATCTTTATATTCTGATGACTCTCTCGAATTTTCTTAATCAATATAAATATCCATAACATGCAAATTGAGGATTTGGAAGTCTATAAATTTAGAAGTGTTTCCTTTTGAAATTTATGTACTTTCCAAGTGCAAAGATATCTAACTTGGTATCACTTAAATGAAACATTTTGTGTATGATACGAAAACAAGAAAATACAAATCTTTGTGTAGAATTATACTATATTTCTTTGGACTAATCACAGCGCAATTTGTGAAAGATTTTTTTTTTTTTGGAAAGACTTCTAATATTTATCCTTAGAAAAGAAAAATAGACCATTGCTTTATTTACTGAAATATTTTTAGATTTAAGTGAAAAAATACAATTTTATGGACTAATAATGCAGTATATAGAATTTAATTATAAGCCAAATTAGTGTTTTTAAGAACCATTTGCTATAATCTTAGATTGAGCTACATAATTAAAGCTGACATGTGCTCCTCTCCGCTCCCCGAAATGAGATAGACTGGAGAGCTGTCCTATAAAAAAAGTAGAGAAGACCAAAATGTAATAAAAATGGCCTCCTGTTCCACAGGATGATTGCGTCACCTGTCTGAAAAGTTTCCCAGCAGGTGCTATTTAATTTCTTGAATTTGTCCAAAGTCTGTCTCTCAGATTTGCAGTCCTACGAAGTTCATATCACCATTATTGCATACATAATCAAACAGAGAACTGCTGATTTATGCATTATATATCAGCCAAAGTCCACTTGGAAGAGAGAAACCACATAGCGATTTGGATAGAGACCATTTTATGTAGAGAATTATTAACTGGAACGGAGCAGTGGAGTAATACCAGATTGCTTAGTAACAAGTGAAGAGTACTTGAAAGTATATAGCAAGAGCAGATAAAAGGAGCATCCACCATTTTCAGGGCTAAGATAAAGTGCTCCAGGAAGAGACCCCAGGAATGAAAACCCAACTCCCTGGAGACGGCACAGCTGCGACTGACAGAATGGCAGAGAAGTCACTACAGTGTTGCACTGGCAGAACATTCTGGTAATTTACCCTCTAGGGTGCTGGAGAAAGCTGTTCATGGCGAAGCCTCTCACTGGAGGCTCTCCACCACAAAACCATCCGACAGGGTGCTGAGGGAACTTCTGGCCACTGAGTGTGCTGACATTACCCACTCCAGTAACCATTCTCTGCAGACACCACGAGCCTGGTGCTCTGGCAGCTGCATGTGCTGCAGGAGCCCGTCCTCTGGAAGGAGAAAGCAGGCTTGTCTGGAGGCATTTTTGGTTTGGGCTCATTGGGGTTTCCCAGTATCCAGATCAGGATAATTAAGAGGCAAAAACAAATCCCAGAAAACTCACCACCATGCTATTCTTCAAGTCCCTGTTCCCCAGTCTTCCTTCTTCTTTCCACTGTTCAGACTCTTCTTATGTCTGCTTTTATACACAATGGCCAGGGTTTTAGCTGTACTTAGCAGGAGGAATAGAGAGAAAGAAATGTGTCTACTCCATTTGCCTGGAACTGAAAGTCTACCTTTCCACTTAAAACTATTTTTCCTTTCTCTACCCAGTGCTTTTCTGGTTCTTAAATTAGTGTATTGGGACATTGTTCTCTGTTTTGCAAAATATATTTCTGTTTTGGCACCTACTTTAAGTATTTTTCCCCCCACCTTCCTTTTTCTTCCTGCTTCCTTTCTTCCCATTGTTCATGTCCTCCTTTCTACTCTTTTTGTCCCTTCCTTCCTCCGTTCTCCTTTCTTGCCATGGTGTAATCTATTATGAATCTACTATGTAAAAAGTAATTCAACAGCAGATTAGTCATTGATATCATTTCCAATGAGATCCCACCTCCATGTATATTTTTGAATTTAAAATATAAAAATGACAAACAAATTTTGTAGTTTCCAAACGAAATTTATCTAAGCAGGTAAAGTTTTGGCAATAAACACCAAGAGTTTCCATCATCAGAAATAATTTTATTATTTATTTTGAAGCAACTCAGTGTAATTGGTAGCAAAATGGTACATAGACAGTGAACAGAATCAATTCCCAAAGGGTTACAAGGACTATTATTGATTTTATGTTTTATTTTCATGTGCAAGTATAATTATTTTAAAAAGGCAAAAGTTCATTAAAAGTCTTTTATAAGCATTTTTTTATTCTTTAAATATCAGATAGACTACTAAACTATCATTATTATACCAAGCTGATATGAATTATGTCAAATATTAAATTTGGACTAATATTCATAGTCAAAAATAATTATTTTAAATTTTATGAAACAAAATTCTTAGTTATATAGGAAATATAATCATATCCTAGCTTAAAATCCTAGTCTTCACACTGTCACAAAAATACTAAAGTCCAGATCTTGTGAAGAAATAAAAGATTTGTAAATCTTATGTTTATTCCTAAAAATAATTGCAATGGAGTAAAAAAAAGTTGATTCAAAGAAACATTATACATGACTATAGATGTGTAACTATGAAACAAGGTCATTAAATTCATTATTTTTCTCCTTTACATATATTAGTTCAATTCTGCCTTCAGTTTTAACAATTTATATGTGAAAATGAGTTTACCATATATATTTCACATGTTTATAACATATACACATATATATGCATACAATCTTTGAGTTTTAAGGCATCCTCCAAATTTTAAGTGACCTGTTACAAATTCTACTTCTCTGATCAAAGATGGGCTCTGTTTTAGGGAAACTTTTGGTGTTCTTGTAAATCTAAAATGTGGGTAATGTATAATACTAAAAAAAAGACATTACATATTTCATAAGCCAAATTACAATGGCTATAATCTTTGATTTCATATTTTATGTGTCACACTTTTATTTCTGTGGAATTATTGAGAGAATATTAAGTTATTTATCTTTTTTAAAAAATTTCTATTTTCCTTTCGATTGATCTGCTTCATGATAAGAATAAAATGTCCCTTTCTAGTCCTATATGTCCTATTTATTGTTCAACTAAAACTCAATGTCAAATTCAGTAACAAAGAAAGTAAAAAATTAGAAGACAAATATCTTTTTAAATTTGCCAATGGATCATCCATATGAGTATCTTAACATACTTCAACTACCTGTATTGATACATACATACAATACCTGTGTATTCTCTTGTGCTTTTTGGTCTATTTCTGTAGGGAAAGAAAGCAGTACAGCATTGGTGTCACCAAGGATCAATTTATGTTTAAATGTATAACCATCAAATTCATCAAGATTTATATTAAATTTAAAGGATAATTAAGTCTTTTTATTTTTTGCTTTTCCCTTATAAGGTTAAAATATAGTTCCTAAATGATTTTTCAAACTTAGAGCAAAGTTTTAACACACCATTTCTTCAGTGTGATTATTTCAGTACTAAAGACATAAAGAGGACTTTTACCTTTTTGAAGTGTCTTTGTAGTCCATAAAAGGTATAAATTTTCTTCTGTCAATTCTGAAGTATTTTTCTAATGAAATTACTATATAGATAGATGAAAAATGTTAAGCTCAAGAGTCTAATCAAAATTACTTCATATTTCAAGAAATCCAATTACTGTTTCAGTTCTTGGATTAAATTTAAGTCAACAAATGTATATTAAGTATTTTCTGTATGCTAGGCATTCTTTTAGGAGAACAATAGGTATTTGCTTTTTAGTACACTTTTCTTGGCATAAAATGTGTGCTAGACATAAAGTTACTAAAAAGTCCAGGTACTTAATATTCTTTTTTGTTTATATATTAGTTTCTTCAGTGTAATCAAACATGCTATGAACATCTCAAATTCTAATGAATATGACATCATATAAAAGGCAGAGAAAAAAGGTTAAAATGACTTAATGATTTGTATTCTAAAACAAACTATGATTCTTACACAAATGTCAGCCATACAAGTTTGTTGGTCAATCTCTATGCAGAGAAGACTAGTCATTTAGGATGAGCTCAATTTTATGAAACAGCTGTTTTAACATAATATGACATCTAATTTTGAAGGGAAGCATCCATCTTCTGTGTCCATTGTGATGCACCAAATACAGGCTTTGTCTGCTTTCATAAAACATTAATAATTTTAAATATTGGCTTCATACAGTTTGGCTTATTGTAAAACAAATATCATCTTTAAATTTTTATGTTTTAATTTAGGGTTTCAAAATCACTCCATTTATATCTTTCAAATATTAATAGGGGGAGTACCAATAAGTAGTACATTAAGTTTCAAAATGATCTATATTTCTAAGAGAATAGATTGTGTCTTTAAATATGAGAGAATTGAATATATTCCAATCTAGTTTCTTTCATGCCAGCAACACTTTTGTTGTTTCAAGCAAGATTCTTGTAAGAAAAAAAAAAAAATTAGTCTCTTATTTCCTTCTTATCAAAGTTGAGTTTCCTCCCGAGAGTCTTGACCGGAAGCATTACAGATGCTGTTTCTTCTACTAGGTTCACTGTTTGGAAGGTATGCCAGTGGATCTGGTCGAATTAAATATCTAATAAAAGAAAACAAAGCAAATAACTTTCTCATCTTAATCTTAATTCACACTGACTCTTTAGATTTTTACTTTGTTATTAGTTCAGTTTTTAGACTATTTAAACTGTCTCTGTATATAACATTGGTGGAAGGACTCACTGTTTAGTTGGCCTGTAAAATTGTAGGGTTTATATTATTATTTACATACCTGAGAAGCTGATGATAATGAATGCTGATGAATCAAGCATCATTATTTTTCAATTATGATCTATTTCGGCACCTCCATCTTATCAAAGTTTTATGATTTATTTTAGTATTTTGTAGCTTTATCATTTCTTACTTTGGCCATTTTTCTATCAGGGAGAACTACATTCTAGCCATGATTTTTCCATTACTTAAATGTTCTTAATCTTATTTTTAACAATCATAAAATTATAAATTTGATGTAAGTAATTTCTACAGTCTTTTTAATTTAAATATTTTATGACTTTATAAAATTAATGATTTAAGAAATGTTATGGTGAGTACTATGCATAGATAATGTTTTAATTAGCTGGAAAAGGATTCATTTGAAATTCAGGTTGGTTATGGTGTAGTAAGTGATAACACTAAAGTATAAAAAATAATTCTTAAATAAACTAGTAGATAGAGAAATATTCATCTGCCAAACTCAAATAATTCACTAATGTTAGAATTTGTTTTAAGAGAGAATTTTTGGGCACTGTGGTGTGTGCCTTCAATCGCAGCAAGTCATGAGGCTGAAGTGGGAGGATCACTTGAGCCCAGGAGTATAAGACCAGCCCAAGCAACACAATAAGAAAAATAAACAAAAAAACAAGAGATAAATTTTACTTCTGACTGTCAAATGATGTCTGGTAGTTTCATTGTGCTTCACTTTATTGTGCTTCACAGATAACTGTGTTTTTTAATAAATGGAAGGGCTGTGGCAACCCCGCATTGAGCAAGTTTATCAGCACCGTTTTTCCAATAGCATGTGCTCATTTTGTGTTTCCGTGTCACATTTTGGTGATTCCTGCAATCTTTTTAACTTTTTCTTTATTATTGTATCTGTAATGGTGATCTGTGATCAGTGATCTCTGGGGATACAATCACAATTGTTTTGGGCTGCCACTTACTGCACCCAGGTGAGATGGCAAACTTACATGATAAATGTGTGTTCTGACTGCTCCACAGACTGGCTGTTCCCCTGTGTCTCTCTTTCTCCTTGAGCTTCCCTATTCGCTGAGACACAACAATATTCAAATTAGGCCCATTAATAACCCTGTAGTGTCTCTAAGTGTCCAAGTGAAAGGAAGAGTTGCATGTCTCTCACATTAAATCAAAAACTAAGTGATGAAGCTTAGTTAGGATGGCATGTTAAAAGCCAAGATAGATCAGAAACTAGGTCTCTTGTGCTAGTTAGCCAAGTTGTTAATGCAAAGGAAAAGTTCTGAAGGAAATTAAAAGTGCTAGGCAAGCAAACACACAAATGATAAGAAAGTGAAACAATGTTATTACTGATATGAAGAAAGTTATAGTAGTCTGGATAGAACATCAAACCAGTCACAACATTCCCTTAAGCCAAAACCTAATCCAGAACAGGGTCCTGATTCTCTGCAATTCTATGAAGACTGAGACAGATGTGGAAGCTGTACAAGAAATGCTGCAAGCTATCAGAGGTTAGTCCATAAGGATTAAGGAAAGAAGTCATTTCCACAACATAAAAATGCAAAGTGAAGCAGCAAGTACTGATATAGAAACTGCAGCAAGTTATCCAGATGATTTAGCTAAGATCACTGATGAAGGCGGCTACAGTAAGCAACAGATTTGCAAAGTAGATGAAACAGACTTCTATTGGAAGAAGATGTCATCTAGGACTTTCGTAGCTAGAGAGAAGTCAATGTCTGGCTTCAAAGCCTCAAAGGACAGGCTGACTCTCTTGGCGGAGGCTCATGTAGCTGGTGACTTTTAGCTGAAGCTTAAACCTGGATGGGAAATGAGTATTTACCATTCACAAAATCCTAGAGCTCTTAAGAATCCAAGTTAAATCAACTCTACCTGTGCTCTATCAATGGAACAACAAAGCCTAGATGAAAGCACATCTGTGTATAGTATGGTTTGCTGAATATTTGAGGCCCATTCTCGAGAACTGCTCAGGAAAAAAAGATTCTTTCTAAATATTACTGCTCATTGCCAACGTACCTGGTCACCCAAGAGCTTCAATGGGGCTGTACAAGGAAATGAATGTTGTTATCATGCCTACTAACACAAAATCCATTCTGCAGCCCATGGATCAAGGAGTAATATCAACTTTCAAGCCTTATTGTTTAAAAAATGCATTTGTAAGGCTGTAAGTTTCATAGATAGTGATTCCTCTGATGGATATTGGCAAAGTAAACTGAAAACCATCTGGAAAGGATTCACCATTCTAGATGCCATTAAAAACATTTGTAATTCATGGGAGGAGGTAAAAATATCAATATTAACAGGGGTTTGGAAGCAGCTGCTTCCAACACTCATGGATGACTTTGAGCGGTTCAAGAGTTCAGTGGAGGAAGTAACTCCAAATGGGGTGAAATAACTACAGAACTGGAGTTAGAATTGGAGCCTGGAGATGTGACTGAATCGCTGCAATCTCATTGTAGAACTTGAACAGATAAGGAGTTGCCTCTTATGGATGAACAAAGAAAGTAGTTTCTTCATACGTAATCTACTCCCAGTAAAGACGGCATGAACACTGTTGAAATGACAACAAAGGATTTAGAATATTACCTAAACTTAGTTCACAAAGCAGCAGCAAAGTTTGAGGGGATTGACTCCAATTTTGAAAGAAGTTCTACTATGGGTACAATGCTATCAAACAGCATTGCACACTGCAAATAAATCTTTCATGAAAGGAAGAGTCAATCAAATTGACAAACTTCATGGTTTTCTTATTTTAAGAGATTTCCACAGCCACCCCAACCTTCCGCAGTCGCCACCTTGATCACAAACCAGCCATCAACATTGAAGCAAGATCCTCTGCCAGCAAAAAGATTACAACTCCCTGAAGGCTCAGATGACTGCAATAATGTGCTTTTTAAGTAAGATATGTACATTGTCTTTTTAGACGTAATGCTATTGCACACTTACAGACTATGGCATGGTGTAACAGTAACTTTTATATGTATCAGGAAGCCAAAAAATTCACGTGATTCACTTCATTGCAATATTCACTGTGTTGCGGTGGTCTGGAACCGAACCTGCAGTCCCGCTCAGGTACGTCTGTATATCTCAGCACCCACTTCTTGAGCACCTGCAGGACACTGTGCTAACACCTGGAAATACAAAAAAATCACAATGCCTGACCCCTAACCTGCAGAAGATTACAGTACAATTTATGAACCAGATATAAAGAATACGAAGACATCCCAAAAATTACAGAAAGAAAAAAAGAACCACAGAGAGAATTAGAGAATGCTTTATTGAGGGAGTTGGGATGAACTTCTCTCTCCTGGCTTGAGAGTAGAGAAGCAGGAGGTGATCCCAGACTTGGACAATTGGGGGCACAGCAGAGAGATGTTCTGTTCCTGATGTGATTGGAAACGAGTTTAGCTTTAGAAGACTGGTTAGAACAGGAAATAGTGGTAGGTAAAGCAAGAAACAAAGGTAAATAAGATAATGAAGGACCTTAAGTTCCAGGATTAGTAGTTTCAATTTCTGCTCCAAAGGCAGTGGGAAGCCACTGAAGGTTTGGAGGGGAGAGAAGGAAAGCGAATACATGTGATGCAGCATTCTAAGAAAGTCTCGTTGCAGGTGCAAACGAAAGCAGTATTTCAAACTTCTATAATAATTTTAGGAGGAAGTACATAAAATGAATGGAAAAAGAACTTAAAGGTGATAACTCACATAAAGATTGTATGTTTCCTCTTAACAACTAAAAGGAAAATATTCATGAAATATGTTCCATAATGAAAATGAGAAAAGGCAATTGCAAACACTACAGTCTATTTTCTTTGATCAAATAAAAGCTGAGATTAGTGTCCTTGGATCTATTAACTGTATTTTGTTCTCTATGCACACTGCTCTATAATTACTTTAAATTTCAATAGCATGGTAGATCGATGAGGAAAACTTAATAGTGCACATTAAGCTTTTTAATACCATATCATCTAGTGATTTATTGCTCTTTGAATCAAATTGTTGCTGTTTTATTTAAAATGAACTTTTGAAAGTGAATTTTTAGAAAAACATAAAAGGTACCAGTATAGTCCATTATCCCCTAAATTAATTGATGCAGTGGCAAAAGCTCCTTTCCTTAATATTATTACGACTAAACCTATGAGTCCAATAAAGCAAATTTCTTAAACTGTGTTTTTATATACTACTTTTCATGATAGGCTTTTTTTCTGTGATAATTTATCATTGCTCCAGATCTACTAAAATTTATTATCTCAATGCCACAAATACAGATCAATGTAATGATGTGATTAAAGCCTTTTTGTTTTTTAATAGCAGTCAAGCTGATGTTTTACTTAAAACTAACAAAAAATAAGAGTATCCAAAAAGCAGAAAATTCTCTGAAAATCTATTTTACCTATACACATTGTAATTACATATTTTATTCATAAGTTTAAAAGATGGAAAATTATTTGACATTGTAAACACATATGTGATGGAAGGACATACTCATAGACTCAAAGGTAAACAAGATTTTGAATCTTTTGTCAAAAAATAGTTACAGGAAATAATTTTATTAAGTTCAAGAAACAATTTCATTAGGTTCAAGAAACATTTAAGATACAAATAAGGTAAGCACAACTGAACAAATTCTATATAATTAATGCAATTGTAATTATTTGGAAAAGAGATACAAGAAGACTGGATTAATAGGGGTAGATTGGAGAATTAATAAAAATTGCTTGAATTTATCGGTTTAGAGGAGAGATGACATGTGCAAATATGGATGCTAGGAAAAAAAATAGTTTTGTTTTATTATAGTGATACACTACATGCAGGCTCCATGATGGGCAATTAGAATCCAGGTGCATCATTAATGAGATGTGTTCTTCTAAGGTCGTCCATAAATTCAGCATCACCATTGCACATAATTGTTGACAAGGCCTTAAGGATTCTACTAGCTTAAATTATCGTTCATCTGATTCCTTAATGCTCCTATATTCTAAACAGTATTATCAGACGGTGAAATAAAGCATATACTTTCTAGTTGTATCTTAGGTACATTTTAGGAATCTTTTCACACTATTTTGGGTCAAAATTACTACTTCCTTTGTCTTTTCCCGATAAGTTTTTGAAACACATTGCTGTTTCTGCCCTAAAACCAAACACTGCTCAAAAGTACGATATTCATGAGGCCAGGCGCGGTGGCTCAAGCCTGTAATCCTAGCACTCCAGGAGGCCGAGGTAGGTGGATTGTTTGAGCTCAGGAGTTTGAGACCAGCCTGAGCAAGAGCTGGACCCCGTCTCTACTAAAAATAGAAATAAATTAGCTGGACAACTAAAAATACATAGAAAAAATTAGCCGGGCATGGTGGCACATGTCTGTAGTCCCAGCTACTTGGGAGGCTGAGGCAGAAGGATTGCTTGAGCCTAGGAGTTTGAGGTTGCTGTGAGCTAGGCTGATGCCACAGCACTCTAGCCCGGGCAACAGAGTGAGACTTTGTCTCAAAAAAAAAAAAAAAAAATTTGATAATCATTATTCTACTTCTTCTATATTCGTGTCTTTTTCTTCTTTATTCATATCCGAACAGCCATTGAGACTTTTGGATCTTTGGCATTTGTTTTGTGTCAGTAATATAAACCTGGAGTTAGCTACCTTGGGTAAGCATTTCTTTATTTAGTCCAGGACGAGGTCATACACATAAAGAGCATATTCTTGTTAGAAATTTCTTTCCTAGGCCTACACCAACAACTGCCAAAGTGCCCTTTCTAAAATCTTGCTATTACTTGCTTGTATAGGTCTAAGTGTTGTTCATCATCTGTAAGGCTAAATTTCAAACTCATTTTGTCATGTAAGGCCCTTCCAAAAGCAGGTCTAATTTATGTTCTCAATATTATGTTTACTTCCCAACAGAAATGCTACAAATACAAAGCTTCTACTCCAGGCAAACTGTCAACTCAAGCACTTTATGCAATTCTTATGCAATGCATTTCTCAAGCCATTTTTCCTGTTCTAGGATGTCCTTTGTGCTCCACCAACACAAACTCTATCCCCCCCTTCAGAATCTAGCTGAAGTCTTGCATCCTTTATAATCACTTCAATTCACGATTATGTCTTCCTCTGTGAATTTTAAAAAGCACTGTTTATCTCACTCAACTGATACTAAATTTATTATATTAGTTACAGAGTCATATTAAAAATTGTTAAATTTTTCATGTATAAATTATATTTTATTAATTAGAATATATGGACTTTAAAGACAGGGAAAATATCTTAGTCATCTCTATTTTACATCTTTAGGGCAGTGCTATGACAACTGTACATGCTCAATATATATTTTTCAATAAATCAAATTACTCCCATAGACCTTTTCCTAATAGATGTTTTGACCTATTTTACTTTGGCTTTTAGGAACTTTAAGGTATTTAGAACTAGATACTGTGGGATATTGTAGGTTTTTTTTCTTTGAGTTTTTCTCTTATTCACATATTTTTTCTTATTTCACCAAATGTATATCATCTCACAAAATACAGAATTCATGCTGCTATTTGGTTGTCTCCTACCCCTTCTTTTAAATAATTCTACATTTTTTATATTATTACACACAAATACCAAATGCATTCATTTATGAAAAATTAGACATAGACTTTTAAGCACTTACGTCACAAAAAATAAGGGGCTAAAATGGTAGAAATAAAAATATAAAACTAATTAGTAGTTTTCTGAAAATACATGCCTTATGTGAGATACGAGATCAACTTACACAACATCGTTCACCTCTATTCTGGTATCTGGAGACGGGTTGATCAGGATGTAGGACAGTGTACTCTGATGGTCGTTCATTTCATCTAGAAGACAAATAAATGTCAAGTTTGTTATACTACTTACAGAAGATTACTGGAATTACTGAAGAACAGTTTAAGTTGAAGCTTATAACTGTCAGAGAGAACTTGCTATACTTTGGTATACAGCATGGTTGTGTGCCTAAGTTTGGCTATTTTCAAATTATTGTCATTGACAATATCTGACAGGTATGCACTTTTTGCTCCAATAGATGATACAAATACAGTACCTAATTCTGTTCAGAACAACCACAGTTATATTCTGCCCTCTAAGATATTATACTGAAAAAGTATTTCTATTAAAGAAATGGCTGGACAAGATCTTTACTTGATTTATTATTCCTTACCAATTACAAAAAAATAATTGTGGTTATAGATAGCTACACCTGAAAGGAATATTCATACAGGAAATTCTTTGAAAATCATCTAATTACATTGTGTTTAGAAAACATGATAAGCATGTGTCGAAAAAGCTTGAAGATCCTAAATATGTTTGACTTCGTGACATGATAGATCCTATATAAGCCATCATAATGCCCTTGCAGAATGCAAAGAATCCTGTGGACAGAATTTAACAAAAAGTTTAAGGGAAGGATACTACTCAATCATTTGTTTTTCTTCTAAAACAACATATGTTTGTAAAATAAATGCCGGTGCCCTTTTAATTTTGTTAATTCACTCTAAATACATCCTCAGGATGCAAGGTTGGAAAGATGACTTGACATTATATAGGGCATTGGGGAAAAAAAGACAAACAGCTTTGGAGTGTCAATTTTGTATATTTGAAAGTTATCATAAGATGTAAATATAAAGCCATGTGAATAAATACTTCAATGAACATAATTCCACCTAAAGATACAGTTTTTAGACTGTGAGAATACTCTCAAATATCCTGTTCTAGAGCCATAGTACCGGTCTAGCCATTTCAGTTGTAGACAAGAGTGGATCCTGCAGGAAGTACTAAATTTTGCAGTTTCATACAAAATCTAAGAATAAATATCATGCCAATAGAGATACATCAACCCTCAAATAACTGCATTAAATTAAAGATTTTTAAAGGCCAGCATAGCTACCCTGATAAACAATTTGGGGCACTGGAATATGTATTATTTTTGAAAAATAATGTTGACCACTATGTTCATCTGACTAGAAACTTGTCACTTTAATGTGAAAGACAGTGTTTTCAGCTATGGTATATTGAAATTTATAAATGAAAATGCTAATCTTACAAAGCAGATAAATTGCAAATAACTGAACTCACCATAAGTTTTCCAGTTAAACTATTATAATCACAAGCTCAAAAAATTAATATCCAAATAAAGGAATATATTCAGTTGCACATCTGGGAGGAGATACAAGGAATTACACTGTGCCACAGGGTTAGTTTCAAGGAAAAAATAGAGATTACTTTGTGAAATATGGTTTCATGAACCACATAATTAAGATTTTATTTTCTACCAAACAAAAATATCTACTACAGGAAAATACTCACAAAAATATAATTAAACTCTGATCTTGGCAAAATAAAAAGCACTACAGTTAAATTATTTTCACTGAAATGAGTGTTTCATCACTGACATAATTATTTAAATGAAACCATTCACATAAAAAATTGAAAAAATACACTCTGATATTGTACTTTAAAGGAAATTCTATAAGGGAAAAGTCAAGGATTGCTAGTAATATTTACTAAGAAACTTATTTTGCTATATTAATTAACATATACAATTATTTAATTAAAATCTTTAAATTGCATAAATATTCTAAATATTCTGCTTAGACTAGTCCATGTAAATATATCATATTAGAAAGGAAATAGAATCAAACTTCCATAGTTCTTACAAAATAGTTGATTAAGAAGTCCTATTTCACACAGGAGAATTTCATTTTTTTTTTTTACATTTTCATGTTCGAGTGATTTAAGAGGACTTTTGAAAGAGCAGAATGAAATTTGGTAAGAGAGACTCCACCAAAAACTCTTAGATTTGATAATAAACTCAGTAAAGTTCCAGGATACAAAAATCAGTGTAAAAAAACCAGTAGCATTTCTATATACCAATGACAAGCAAGCTGAGAACAAATCAAGAAGGCAAACCCATCTACAATAACTGCAAAGGAAATATCTGGGAATGTATTTCATGAAGAAGGTGAAAGATTTCTACAAGGAAAACTACAAAACACTGATGAAAGAAATTGTAGATGACACCAACAAATGGAAAAACATCCTATGATCATAGATCAGAAAAATCAAAATTTTTAAAATGACCACATTGCCCAAACTAATCTGCAGATTCAGTGCAATTCCTATCAAAATACCAATGTCATTTTGCACAGATTTATAAAAAATAAACCTAAAATTCATATGGAACCAAAAAAAAAAAAAAAAAAACCCAACCCAAATATCCAAAGCAATCCTAAGCAAAAAAAATTCCAAAATAAAAAACAAAGCTGGAGGCATCACATTACCTGACATCAAATTATACTAAGTGAACAGAAAAGCTGCAGAATGGAAGAAAATATTTGCAAACTATGCATCTAACAGGGGATTAGTATCCGAAATTTAAAAGGAACTTGACTCAACAACAATAATAATAATAAAAAAACATTAAAAAGTGAGCAAAGGACATGAATAGACATTTTTCAAAAGACATACAAATGGCCAACAAGAATATGAAAAAATGCTCAACATCACTAATCATCAGGGAAATGAAAATTAAAACCACAATGAGATATCATCTTACACTAGTTAGAATGGTTATCCTTAGAAAGACAAAAAATAACAGGATTGGCGAGGATTCAGAGAAAAGGGAATGCTTATACACTGTTGGTGAGATTGTAAATTAATACAACCTTTGTGGAAAACAGTATGGAGATTTCTCAAAGAACTAACAATAGAACTACCATTCAACCCAACAATCCCACTACTGTGTATTGACCCAAAGGAAAAGAAATCATTATATACCTATCAAAAAGATACCTGCATTTGTATGTTTATTGCAGCACAATTCACAATTGCAAAAAAGAAAAAAAATGAAATCAACGTAAGTGTCCATCAACAGATAAATGGGTAAAGAAAATGTGGCATATGTACACAATGGAATACTATTCGGCCATAAAAAAGAGTGAAATAATGTCCTTTGCAGCAACATAAATGTAACTGGAGGCCATTACCTTAAGCATAAAACTCAGGAAGTCAAAGACTGCATGTTTTCACTTATTAAGTAGGAGCTAAATAATGTGTATACATAGATACAGAGTGTGGAATAATAGACATTAGAGACTAGGGAGGGTGGGAGGGTGGAGAATGGGTAATGAGAAATTACTTGACGGGCACAATGTACATTATCTGGGTAACAGATACACTAAAAGCCTAGACTTCATCACTATGCAATATATCCAGGTAACAACATTGCACTTGTACTCCTTAAATTTATACCAATGGAAAAAAAAAAAAAAATAAAAGCAATTTGCCTTTTCAAAAAATTAAAAAAATGTAAACATTCCTTATATTTGTACAGTTTACCATTAAATAGAACTTCTGTTATGGACTGAATTGCACCCCCTGCTAACCACCTATGTGACTGCATTTGGAGGTACAGACTTATAAAGTAATTAAGGTTACATGACATTATTAGGGTTGGGCCCCAATCTAACAGGACTGGTGTCCTTATAAGAAGAAGAGACACTGGGAGTGCGCGCACACACACACACACACACACACACACACAGAAAAGGCCATACGAGGACACAGCGATAAGGTACCATCCGTAAGCCAAAATGAGAGACCTCAGAAGAAACCAGCCTTTAAATACCATGATCTTGGAGTTTCGGCCTCCAGAACTGTGAGAACATAGACTTCTATAGCCATCCAGTCTTACTGCAGCTACAGTAGACTGATATAACTTCTAAAAATACATCATCATTGTATCGTGTATAATCGGAGAAACATTTCATACAATACAAAGGCTCTGAAACCAGACCACCTGCAATTCTGGATCTACCAGTTACTCACTCTGAAACAAGCAAATGATTTAATTTCTCTTAATTTCTCTGTGCTTAGTTTCCTCATCTGTAAAATGGGGATAGCAATAGTGCTATATCACTGGCTATTATTAGAATTAAATTATAATAAACAAATATTAAATATAATTTTAAATTAATATGTTAACATTAATATATGGTTCTTGGACTTAGTACCTGATTCACATCAAGTGCTATGTAAAGTTTATCTATTATTATTATAGCAGGCAGAATGAAGCTGTAAATTATTTTTAAGAAAACAATTGCATATGTGTGGTGGTGTGAAAGTGTCGGCATGCACAGATAGGGAAGCAGTGTTCCACACACAAAGAACAGCACATGGGAAGGCATGAGATGCTCTGGGTTAAGCCTCAGAAAGCATGTACCAGAGAATGGACTAAAATGAGCAAGGAAAATGTTAACTGGAGACAATGTTGAAAAGGCAATTGAAGGGCTTTACCCTTGGTCAGCAGTTTGAACTTTATTCTAAATGTAATCGGGAAACACTGAAAGCTTGTAAGAGGTGGGGGGTGGGGGCACTGCTGGTGGCATGTTCTGATTTTTTAAAAACTATATCTCTTTGGTCTGTGAGAAATAAACTTTGTAGGGAAGAATAAGTTTAGATTCAGGAATATTAGGTGCTTATCATGGAACAGAAACGCAGGTGAGAGATGATGGTAGCTTGGGAACAACAGAAATGGAGGAATTAGAAAAGAGGGAGGGAAAGAGAGGTAGAGATAGAGATGGATAAAGGGAAAGTGACGGGGAGGGGGAGAGAGAGAAAGAGATTGAGAGAAGGAGGCAGGAATGGAGGGAGATAATTTTAAGGTGGGAAATACCACTCCAGGTCTGAACATTAATGGGAAAAAGCAAGTACAAGAAATTAGTGCTATGTGAGAGAGCAGTATGTCTTTCTTTAGTCACTACAAAGGAATACCTTATCAAGGAAAATAATCTCAACTGTACAGTACTTATTTCTCCCACATAGTTCTAAAAATGCAAATAATTGGTAAGAGCACAACCTAGTGATGATTTCATTTTCTTTCACCTGAACAACTACCCACATTATGTGCTACCCACATATCAGACTGGTTAGTTTTACAGTGCTGACCTAATTTGCTCACATATTCAGTTTAATGCCAAACTATGTAAACTATGTTTATGAGTCCGACTATTTTGTGCATTTTTACTGAAATTTTAGGGGAGATGTGGGAGTGCTTCGAGATAAGAGTAAAAAAGTAATTCTATTTAACTAACCTCTGTTTAAAATGATTTTTATTACCTTTCAAAAATTTATAACTATTTTGTGATAGGCAAGATAAAATTTAAATAATAAAATAAGTGGACTCTCTTAACTTCCCTTCACATGAATATTCAGAAGTCAAGATTACATGAAACAATTAGCAAAATGAGTAGAATGATTTAGGGCAAAATTTTGGAAATAGCGAAATTGCAAATCTGCCACATGCCACTTCATCACACAATAGCTTCATACACAAAACAAGTTTTCGAGACTAAAGAAAAGAAGAAATTATTAAGAGTAAACGTGAGGTGATAATGTGAAGACATGGAAGATAGTTAGCTTGAACAAAGAAAGAGAAAAGATGAACACTACAGGGCGTGTTACACACGTATGCATGTGTGCATATGCAAACACATGCATGCGTGTGTATTTGTGTTAGGATAAGAGAAGAACACTTGTTTGTTCAGATGAGGAGCTAAAGGACAAAGATCAAGACCAAGGATTATGGAAGAGTGAGATTAGCCAATTGAATTTGATTTTGAGGGAGGAAGGAAGTAACAGAATCAAAAGTTCAGGAAAAGAATCCTTGCTTTTATCTGGAGCAAACAACTAATCTACGAAATTAATTTGAAAGAAGAAACATTCAAAAATAGGAAAATACTGAAAAAGAAGACTTCAGGCGTCTGTAGCCCTATCACATATTAAAACATTATTTTATTAATATAGAGCCTCTATAATTAAGACAGTGGATACTTCTGCCTGCATAAGCAGACAGATCATTACAACACAATAGAAAGTTTAGAAACAGACTCAATGACATCAATCAATATGAAAAATTAATAATTGCTTTAAAGCATTCATCTTCAGTGGAGATAATATTGCTATCAAGGGTGCAAAATTTGTTGGATTTTTTTGGATATGGGCAAAAAATCTTACTTTTTTATGTATAAAGTACAGATATACATACAATAGTCAAACAGACATGCATTTTATCTGCAGTATGAATTGAATGACACTCTGGGATAAGCACTTTATTATTCATTATCCCATTTGTCTTTCACAGCAAACCTACCATATAGGTATTATTACTTCCATTTCTCAGATAAGAAAATAGGCTCAGAGAGGTTAAATAATTCAACAAATCTATTATAGAATGTGAGTTCTATAAATGCAAAGGTCTTGTCTGACATGCTTAGAACTGAGGGCAACCCAATAATATCTGTTGAATGGATGAATTGTTGTGAGTTAGGAATAAGTAGAGAAGTCCAGAGGCTCATGATGTGTTAGATTCCAAATCTTGTTTTAATAATCACTATGTTATTAGAGGTGTCCAGTACATAGTTTTGGAATGGACTGATGGATCTATGGCTAGAGAGATGGACAGAATGAAGAGAGAGAAGAAGAAATAAGGAAAGAAAAAAGTGGACAGAATCCGTTCTTCCTTTCTGCAATAGTTAACAAACAATTAACAAATCCTAGAGAATAAATAATTCAAGGTACCCGATAGATGTTTCTTTATGAAAAACATAATATGATTTCTGATGATTCTCCCATGCAGTCGGCTTATGCATTTTTGTGTCTTTAAGAGTCAAACTTATCTACTGCTTACAGGACAGCCCATGGTCCTTAATGTTCATGAAAAGCAACTGGAACGTAGGTAAGCAATCATTCACTAGAACTTTTTAGTAAAAGAAAAAATTGCTAAATAACATCTAACAAAAGTATACACATAGAGGACTATAATCCTATAAGAAATATTATCATACTTAATGTCATTAAATTGGCTGATAGCTATTAGTGAATTTGTAAAATGAGGATCATTTTTTTCTTTTAATTTGCTTCTTCATGCAAGACATTAAATGTGGTTATATTAAAATCACTGGTCACAGGTGAATCTAGATTACATTTAAGTTATTGAAATATTATTATGAATTTCAACTACATAGGGAATCTTGACTCCAATGCATTTTAACTGTATGTTCTTGAGCAAGGTCTTTAAACTCTGAAAGTAAAATTTCTGAAGGGTAAAATGAGATACCTATCTAATCAGGGTTATAAGGAATAATGAGAAAACACAAATAAAGCACCTAGCATGGTTCCTGAAGTAGCACGCACAGCATGTAGCAGTTTATACATAGCATAGAATAGTAGGCAGTAAAAATGTTATTTTTCTTATTCCAAGAAACACAGGCAACTTCTCTTAACCTTTAATTCAATGATTAAAATTTCTTTCTATGAACACTGTCTCAAGTTGAGACTTTAATACTAAAGAAGAGGTGGGGTAAATATGAAATGCAATCTATTTTATTCTTAATTTGCATGGTACTGACACCGTCTTCAGTCCTGGTTTACCCAAGTAAATGAAACAAAATACTTAGTTATTTTTTTGTTTTCCTATGAGTTGACCAAATTTCATTTTAAAATAAAATTCATAAAGTGATAAAGGATATATTTTAAAGTTATCTTTGAATTCTTTACCTAAGTTGTGTCTGTATGGTCTATGGCAATCACAGATCAACATAGGAGCCTTGTAATTATTGAGACAGAGCTGCACTTTATGAGAGAAAGCACTATTTTGAGCTTCAAAATTAAAGCTTTTCAAGACATTTCGTTTCTGAATCATGGGAAACTAAACATATTTTATAAGAATATTTTGGTTCATCTATTGCTGGTACAACTAGTTACTTGCCAATGCCTCAAATTCATTCCATTTCAGAACCTAGACTAAGATGTATGTTGACATGTGTGTGTGTGTGAGGGAGACTTTGGAGCCAGACAGACCTGGACGTAAATCTCAGCTCTGCTGTTAACAAGCTAATTAGCAAGTTTTTTACCTAAAAAACTTACTTTCTTTACCTCTAAAATAGAAGCAGAAGGTTGGCTTGGAGTTTTTGTGAAAATTGAAATTAAGATAATTCATGTTATGGGTTCAGCACAGTGCCTGGCAGACAAAATAAATGCTTAAAATTTTTAGCATTTTATTATTATCATTTAAACTTTCTGTAGGAAATTAGACCTGTTGCTAATTTCCACAAACTGACCTGTGGAGAAAAATGCAATTCTTTACTAAATTAGAGCCAACTATGTAACTACCAATGGCAAGAAATCACAAGTCCACAAACACAGTAGTTTTAAAGAGCATACCATATCCCACTGTAGAAAGACCCAAGTGTTTCATTCTATTTTTCACAAGTTCAGCAAGCTCTTGTCTTTCTGACCTCCTGTAGAGGTTCAGTCGCTGCTGGGTTATTTTTTCAGCTGTTTTACCAGAGTGTTTTGGACCTTTTCTGCTCAGTCTTCGGGCCCACTGCATGCTCTTTCTCCGCAGCAAGGGGTGATCTGACTGGTCGCTGGACGTGGAGTTGCGGTGGTTGCTGCGGTGGTGCCCTTGTTCTTTGGAGTCTTTGGTGTCTTCCCACTCTTCCACGCTGATAGATATTTGAGACTTTAAAGGAAAGGGATATTGATAATTAGATATTTTAGGAATAATCATGGCCTGGGGTTGAAATAATATTCATTTGCTATTATCTTGGCATAGTTATATATCTACTCATGAGAGTTTTCACAGAAAGAGCAAAATCACCATCTTTGACTCTTTTATTACTAAAAATATTATCAGAAAATATGTTTTCTTGAACTTATATAAGAACCAGATAAAATATCTGCATCCTCTAATACAATTTTTTTATGAAAGGATTTACCTTTTTATGCATAAGGGCTTTCTTATCATAAATGACTACAAGCATATAGTTATTTGAAACATCCAAAAAACTAGATATTTTATTGAAATAAAGTCCATGTAATAGAGTTTTCTAAATATACTACAAGTATTTCACATTCAGTTTAAAAACCGTTATGATAATTGTTATATTTTTGGAATTTATTTATATTTTTAAAGGTTTTTAAATTATTGCTTTTTCTAAAGATGGCACTGGAATGAACTTTTTAAAATGAGATTTTTTTTATTCCCTCATATATCCCAGAAGAAAACAAAAATCAATTTTAACTCATGCATTTGATATTTACCATGTAAAATATTCTTCTGATTAAAATATTAAAACATATTTCAGAAACTGTTCTAAGTATTGTAAGTTAAAATATGTTGTAAACATTCATGTTTCACAAATGTATTGTAGAATCACAACTAAAACTTAAACCAGGCCATTCTCCATAGGAGGGAAAAACAATGAACAAAATCACAAAGTCTATCTTAACTCACTCTTTTACTACTAAATCTGATTTTTAAAGTAAGAAGTTCTCCTTTGAGCATAGGCCCTTAATAAGCAAAAGTTTACTATTTCAAATTTCTTGCTTTTCATCCTAGGAAGTCATATGAAATGCACCATGGATCAAAACAGAAAGTCTTACTTTCTAAAAACATACACATGCAAACGGACAACTTCCTGAATTCTATTGTACTTAAGAGCAGCACTCGTGAATCTGCTAACTGTGCTTCCCTTCTATGGATGGAAGCTTGAACTTCAGCTACAACATGCATGGCTTTTAAAATAATAGAATTTAAATTACCAATTTAAGTAAGGTCAGGAAGTAGATCCAATAAAATCCTTTAAAAGTGAATATAAATTATAGAGGCTCAGTCAATGCCTCACAAACAATTCCCAGTGGCAAGCTATGATAATATCTCACACTTAAATTCAACCAAAAATTCAAATATTCATCTACATCACTGTTTCAAAACAGTACTGTACCAGAGTGATATCAAAAATACTTTATTTAATCTTCATATCTTCATGATAAAAGAATACTGGATTAAAAATTTTTAGAAACCATATTCTATTTATCATAATTTAAGTTGGAAACAATAAAAGATTTTAATACTATGATTTTGCAATATGGATATTTTTAAAAAGTCTTAACAATCTATTTTCACCTACTTGATACCATACTGAAAATCTTCCTCTGTGAAAGTAAAATACATAAACTCTTCAGTAATATCTACCATCAATAAACAATATCAATCTTTATTCAGTAGTTTACATGTACTTTGTAGTAAAAATGAAAATATATAAGTTCATTCATATTTAGATGCTAGCAGAATTTAATCACAATCCTTTGTCCCTCTTTCTAATCATAGGTCCCTGTGAGTAATAGTTTGATTTCCTATAAATATGTGCAAATAGTAATATTGCCAGACCAAATACTCAAGATGTTATGTTCATCTAATGTCACTTATAATTGAAGTCACAGTACTATAAGCTAATTAAATATTTTAAGGGGAACGGTGGGGATTCACTTCTCTTCTAGGCAGGGGATGAAACATTGTCTTTGTGAATCTTTCCTTTAGTCATTGTATCAGGCATCATGTAAAGTATACATCTAAAACATGAGTCAGCTAAAACCTGTGATTACATTCTCTAAGCAATATTAAATACCCTATTTATCATTGTTTTGAATTCTTCAAGGAAGGAAATATTATGGTTCATACATAAAATCCATAAGAATTGCAAGTCCTTTTTAAAACTAATTCCATAAAATAAGTAGTATCTGTTTGTAAACTTCACTTTAACTAAAGAAAAAAGGAATGAGAAGAATTTGGAGATTCGTTTTAAGAAATCCAAATCCCAAACAAATAGATTGTTCTTTACATGTTTGGAATTTGCATGCCATTTTCCCATTCTTTCAACATGATATAATAAAAAGTATATTGAATTTTTGTGTATTAACATACACAAATTTGAGTGCAATTTCAGATGTTTCCTAGCTTCGTCCCTATAAAAAACTGCATGACGTCTGTAAAATGTGAAAATAATAAAACCTATCTTTCTACCTCGTAGAATCATGAAAATTCATATAACATTAATATATAAAAAAACCATTTGTGTGTGTGTGTGTGTGTTTTAAAAGGAAGTCCATTATAAATATACTTTCCTGATATCATTTCATCCTCTGGTTGTAATTCTCTTGTGTTTTGATTATGCCATCATGATGCGGTAGAAATAGTGCAGTGCTGGGACACACAGTGGGGCCTTCGTAGCAGGATGTTTTCTTGAACTTAGAGTGATAGAATGGTTTAAGCAAGGATTTTAGCAACAAATAGACATGGGTTTAAATAATAGTTCCACCACTGACTAGCTTTGTATTCTCGTATATGTAATTTAAACTCTCTAAGATTATTCCCACTTCCCTATCTGAAAAATGATCATTACACTGTTACTTTGCCTACCAAGTTTTCCTGAGGACACAGAAGGGACGATGCATGAAAAGTGCACACTGTGATGTCTGTCTTAGAAAGATTCCTTGGTTAAAGTTTAGCGAATCTAAAGAAGAGAAAAAGTTTTAAAGTGAAAGTGAATGTTTTTTATTCTGCACTTTTTCAATGAATTATTCTGTACTGTTTCTATGAATAACTAGAGGACTCTCACTTTTTTGTATTTTTATTGTCAGAGGCCTAATATAATCATTAACTTGAAAAATCAAAATTTAATACTAATGTTTGTGAGAGTCAACAAAACAGATACTCGTATTTGAAACTCAGACTTGGGGGGGAGGGAGGGGCAAGGGCAACATATGTAACCTAAACATCTGTACCTCATGATATGCTGGAAAAAACAAAAAAAAAAACAGATACTCGCTTATTTTTTTTTTTTTTGAGACAGAGTCTCACTGTTGCCCGGGCTAGAGTGCCATGGCGTCATCCTAGCTCACAGCAACCTCAAACTCCTGGGCTCAAGTAATCCTTCTGCCTCAGCCTCCCGAGTAGTTGGGACTACAGGCATGTGCCATCATGCCCAGCTAATTTTTTCTATATATATATTTTTAGCTGTCCAGCTAATTTCTATCTATTTTTAGTAGAGACGGGGTCTCACTCTTGTTCAGGATGGTTTCGAACTCCTGAGCTCAAACAATCCGCCCGCCTCGGCCTCCCAGAGTGCTAGGATTACAGGAGTGAGCCACTGCGCCCGGCCGATACTTGCATATTTTATATGAAATGTGTCTTGGAATGTGCGTCTATATACACATATACGTGTGTGTGTATTTTTACACACACACATATATATACAGTTCAGTATGGAAATGAAAAATTCATATAGCTGCTCCAAAAATTTTCATGCAGATTTTAAATATTATCATTTTCTAAAAGTTATATTACTTACCAAATTTAATATTACTGAAACAAAGCTAAAATGTCTCTTCTCCTGAATGATAACTGAGAACTTAATAAATGAAAAATATTTCTCCTGCCTAAAACAGCTTGATTACATTATGGTTTTCAGAAAGACAGAAAGTCTCAGATTCACAAAATATATCTAACACTCTTTTCCACACTCACACACACACACACATCAAAATGACAATTCAACTTGTTCTCAATTTTTTATCAAATAGTTATTCATGTTATAGTTTATTGAACGATCTACAGAACAAAGTAATATTTTAAAATAAATTCACCTAGTAGTTTAAAACTGAGAGTAACGGGGATTCCTAACTCCCTTAAGAATTGTTTTATAGGCCGGGCGCGGTGGCTCACGCCTGTAATCCTAGCACTCTGGGAGGCCGAGGCAGGCGGATCGTTCTGAGCTCAGGAGTTCGAGACCAGCCTGAGCAAGAGCGAGACCCCGTCTCTACCAAAAAATGGAAAGAAATTAATTGGACAGCTAAAAATATATGTAGAAAAAATTAGCCGGGCATGGTGGCGTGTGCCTGTGGTCCCAGCTACTCGGGAGGCTGAGACAGTAGGATTGCTTGAGCCCAGGAGTTTGAGGTTGCTGTGAGCTAGGCTGATGCCACGGCACTCGCCCCAGGCAAGAGAGTGAGACTCTGTCTAAAAAAAAAAAAAAAAAAAAAGAATTGTTTTATAGGCTTCATAATACTCTAAAGTGTGCTACCTGATTTATGATTGAAGACATTCGATATTACTGCTAAAGAAGAAAGCAAAAGAAAAATGAAATCACTGAAGATGTGTTAGCTTAACATTTTATACAAGAATTCATATCTAATGAATTCATATCTAATGTTTTCCATTAAAGAAAAGTTAAATTATAAGAATACTAGAGAGAGCATCTAAATTTAAATACATATGAGCCATGGCTAGTGACCTTGAGTCCGCGCGAAACTTCTCAGTAGCAAAAAAATAATCATCTGCATAGAGATGTTTCACCAATTTTTACAAGCTCAGTTTACTATGTGCATGTAGTCTGTGATCTAAGCAGAGATAGAAAATAGTTATATTGCTTTTTGATGTATTTTCAACTTATTTTCAGAATCACAGAAATGACTAGAGAATCTCATAGTCTGAAAAAATCCTGAATTTGAAATCAAATAAATAAGCTGTATTTCCATCCACATCAGGATAATGTTTCATAATCTTGAGCAAATCACTGAGATTTTTGTAAAACGATGATAATAATACCTACCCTGGTTTTCATAACAAGAAAACACAAAAGTTATGAGAATCTAGTATCAAATTCTAAAATAAATTCTAAA